GCCACCTTGTCTACATACTCCACAAGTTCATACCTGCTAAACTGTAGAAAAGAATTGATGTTACTGTTTATAAAATGAATGATGCTAGGGTTTTGTGACTTACGCAAGTGAGAAAATAAGTATGATTTAAGAAAAGAGTTTCAGAAGATACTGACTTAAGAAGCTATTTATATGTTACACTCCCCGGCTCTGAATATGAACACTACATTTGTGTTTTCCTTACCTACATCACTGTTCAGTTTGGTGGGCTGGAATTTGTCTGTCATCAAGTCTCATTTATCCAACAGCCAAAAACCTAGTTGTGCTCCTCTGAAGCATTTGGGACTTGTTAGCTTTTCTTGCATAGGTAGAGTTACATTTGTAATGTGGATGACTAAGAAATAGTCACATAATTATTGTCAGATGATGAATTGTGACTTCTTTCACACACTATTCTACAGCCAAATACTTATCTTTACAATGTTTCTTTTATTTAATAATATTAATGTACAATTAAACAATTAATCAAAGGAAAATTATGGAAAAGCAAGAGTATCCTACAATAAATAAAATTGCAAGTCATTATTCAAAAAGTCCATGAGACCATCACTGAAAAGTGTACTAAAAGGAAAACTATTCCCTAGTCAAGCTATGTACAATATAAGTATAAATCTGACATTTTGGCTCAAAGGATAGACTCTTTAAAGATTTATTCATCCAAGACCATAACTTGAAGCAAAAAAAATATATCATATGTAATCAAAAAGTGAAGACGTCTCCAAAGGCTTTCCTTGCTGACCGATCCCCGCCTTGACTGCCGGTTCATGCCGACAAACAGCTGAGCCGGCACAACGTGGCAGCCATTTTTATTCTAATGAAGCGGGGGATATTTAAATCCCCACTTTATTGACTGTGTCGGTATGTCTAATTTACATGCCTCTGATGACAGAGGCATGTAGTCTAGACATACCCCAGTGTGCTCCATTTCCCTGCATCTCCTTCCATTGCGCCGAGAGCGGAGGTAGGGGGTGACCACTGCTACTGCCCCCCTTCCCACCCCAGTCATCCCTGAAGCCATGTCCGAGAGAGAGAGAGGGTGCCATGGTGTGGTGGGGACAGGGCTGTGGTGGAAGAGATGGGGCTTGAGAAAGAGTAATGGACAGCCACCCTCCACAACTCCTGGACCAGCCTGCACAACTGCTCCAGCCCAGGATGTGGGCCGGGAGTTTGATGCCTCTGGTCTAAAGACAAAGTGCACTACAGAATGTCTAGTATGTGGTAGTAAGGTCCATATAGCTGGTAAGTGTGAGCTAAGACAAAAAGCTGTAGGTTTGCTTGCTGTGCATTATCTTGCATAAAGATATGCCCTAAGGGTGGCATATATAGTGGGTTATGCTCACTTCATATAAATCGGCATAGCTCATTGATTTCAATCAAGATAAACTGATCAAAAAAGACAAATAGCAAGTACTTCATTTAGGATTGCCAGGTAGACCCCGCCAAAAAACCGACAGAGCTGGCCGGGGGAGGGAGTGTCCGGGGGCCGCGGGACTGGCCGGGAGAAAGCAGGGGGGCAGGGAAGCAGCGCTGGGGAGGATCAGGGGCCGCGAGGCTGAACAGGAGGAAAGGGGGGCAGGAAAGGGGAGGGAAGGTGCAGTCACTGGCCACAGCCGGAGTCCTTCCACCTGCGCTCCCGGCAGGCACTCCCTTTAGTTGCGAGCAGAAGCCGGGCGGGGGCGGGGCTGGGAGTCACTCTCCCCACCCAGCTTTTGCATGGAACCAGAGGCTCCCAGCATGGAGGCGGGGCTGCGATTGGCACTGGGAGCCTCTGGTTGCATGCAGAAGCCGGGAGGAGGTAGTGGCTGAGAGTCCCGGGCCCCGCCCCGCCCGGCTTTTGCATGAGACCACAGGGCTCCCAGCGCCAATCATGGCCTGCTTCATTTAGGAAGCTATTTATTATTATACCTACAAGATAGTTAATTTATGACTTTTATACTGAGTACACACAAAGGTCAGTTTAAAATTTATAAATGTTTGGCTAATATTTCTGTATAGTACTATAGTTAGTACTTCGTATGTACAGGCTTATTCCAAAATGTATTATTAGTAATATAAACTTCCCTGCTTGACTCTTCTATGATAACTGTATTTTTTCCTCCTTCTTACCACTAATACTTGAAGGGAATGGAAAGGTAATATTTAATGCAAAACATAAATTTTTGTAAAAAGAATTTTCAAAGTCTAAGTCCATTAGGAATGCTTTCTCAAAGTTTGCTTAAACTGTTATGGTTTTTAGAAAACAAATAATAATGTATGGGTTATGGGTAAAATACTGCTATACTGTATTTATTAGTGCATTAGAACTCTAACATCAAATTAACTAGAATTTGTGAGCTGGTAAAATAAGGAAGAAATATCAGACAATATAACTAGACAACCATACTACTTTTAATTCCCGTATTTGGTGCCTCGATATTAAGTGTATGCTTCTAATATACATTCAAAAATAGAAAGTAATAACAAATGAGGTGTCCAAGCTAACAGAATGAAAAAGCTAACCAAATAATATAATACTGGAAATAAATACAGATATTTTACCAGTTTGAATAAGATAGGTCCCACTCCCACAAGCCCTCACATGCTTACAGTTAAGAGCATGTGTATATGCAGGATCAAAGTAATAAACTGGGGCAAAAAACGGGTAACAGAACAATAGTTAAAGATTATATAATCAGTGATCAGATCTTCAGCTCACAAAAAGTGGCAGAATTCAGCTATGCCATTTTATGTCAACTGAGAAACTAGTCACAGACAGATCCTCCAAGCCCTCCATGAGAGGAATTCACATTAAAATCAGTAGAGTAGAGTGTGTACAGTACTGGGCTTGTGATTTTTACCCTAACATGTTTTGTTTTGATTCTGATTTTATAAATATCCACTTAAAGTAGCATTGTACTTTTGTCACTTGAGCTTATTGAGCCCACCCAAGGCTTTTCTGCATGCTCAGACGGATATAAATTATTAAAAGTGGTTAGAAATGCCAAGAGTAACATAACTGAACTAGATTCACATAAACAATACAAACAGTCCAAAACAGCACTTAATTCAATATGCTAAAAATATCTTGGCTAAAGGATCAATATTTAGCTGTTGTTTTTTTAAACTCATCATACCCAAGTCTCTGAATTATGGGTTTTTTTTTCCATTTTCCACTCATCCTGTACTAATTCACTCTTAACTACCCCATCTATTTCAAGTATATAATGGCAATTTATCCAATAACTGTGATCTTAAATTATGTCCATCTAAACTTTTATTTCCTTTAACATAATTTTAAAGTGAACTATAATTTATTTTTGCATTGCACATGGAGGGCCAGATACTTTATTGCATCAATGGGACTACTTATATGACAGAGCTAAAAATCTCAGGGAGGATTTTCAAGATCTATCAATATTTTGGATTTTTCAAAGTTTTTTAAATACAGTTAAAAATATAACCCTATTGAATTATAAAATGAGCATTAATTTTCTTTCAGCAACTTTTGTGATGTTTTGTGATTTGTGAGAAAAGAATTGTTTAATAATTTTGTGCTAAATTATGGCTTTGCCATGTGCCCAGAGTAAAAAGCAACACACTGTTGGAGCACCCTAGGAGACCACAAGTTTCTATGGTTTCTCCACTGGTCTGGGAGGGAACAAACTGCATCAGATCTATACCTATTGCAATGCAGATTACCTGACAACACTGATGCAGTTTTGCTGTCATGCACATCAGGGAAGAGAGACTCTTACAATGTGGTGGCTCTTAGCCTGTTTCCCCTCCCCTGCTACTACTCATGGTACATGTAGTTAGTGTCTCCTTACTACTTTGGACCAGTGTGCAAAACAAACCATAATTTGGCCCTTTCTTCATCACTGATTATTATGGTAAATGCCCACAAGCTTATTGTGTTCCTAAATATTTTTTCTGGTATGCATTTTTATAACTCCTAAATACATGTACATATCGTGTACATTGTGTAACATATATACATAAAAATTATTATATTGGTACACTATGCTGTGCTATAAATAAACGCCTATATAAATCTGGGTCATTACTCAACCCATCCTCCATGATCATTATTTTCCACAGTCCTGTACTGTGCATATTTGCAGATTCATATTTCCAGATTCTTCAAATTAAGACATACATCTATGTAATGCTTTTTTTGTGATGGTACGGCCCGGAAAGCCATACCGTCACCTATTTTCCCAGCACACAGAAAAGGAATGGCATTTCACCTGTTTTCCTGGGGCGGTATGGCTCCTGATGGAAGCCTGCTCAGGATGCGCGGCATTTTGGCTCTTAAAGGGGCTGCGACCGCATTTCGGCCCCCAGTGCGGGGGGGTTTGTTTTGTGTTTTTGTTGTTTTGCTCAGCAAGTTTACCCTGGAGTACTGTCACCTTTTTTGTCTTACAAAAAAAGCACTGCATCTATCTCACAGGTTGTCAGAACATGAATGGTCATAATTTACTTTATAAACAAGATCCACATAAAGTAGTTTTACTCATAACTGCTTGTATAGGAAATGAGGACACAGCATCTTCAAATGTGAAGGGTATTTATCCGGTGAAGTTAGTTTCACATATAATTGGAGCAGATATGCTATAATTTTCATATATGTATCATTCATGTAATTCTATTGAATTCTCACTTGTACTTTGTTTTTTATTTATAAACATAGAATATTTATTTATATTTATTTATAAATGTATTTTATTTATGAATGTAGAATGTTTTGCTGCCATGGTAACAATCAATAAGTGTGTGTTAGATATCATAGTGTAAATAGCATTAATGTTGCTACAGTATTATCTGTAAAAAAAATTAAAAATAAATTTAATATTTTAAAAGAACTAACCAAAATAGACAGATTGTTATTGTTTCTTATGATCATAGACTTAGAACAGTCATACTAACTTCTAGGTTTCATTTGAAAATTATATGAACTGAGAGTCACCAGGACAAACACATACCTTTAATAATTGATTCAGCAGCATATAGATCCCTCTTGTAGGTCACCTAAAGGACAGATAAACCTCATTAGACTTAACACAGCAGGAAGGAATGGAAAACCAATAAAATAGTACCCCAAAGGCAATTCTTTACATTTGAAGTACCATAAACAAATGATTTAGTCAATTTCTTAATTATAGAAATACCACTGGGAAATATGAGAACAAACATTATGGAAATCACAAGAGACACTATAGAATCATACTCTGTTTTTATAGTAATAGAGATGTAGCTATGTTAGTCTAGTCTAGCTGAAACAAAAAAAAACAGAACTATGTAGCACTTTAAAGACTAACAAGATGGTTTATTAGGTGACGAGCTTTCGTGGGCCGGACCGACTTCCTCAGATCAAATTGTGAAAGAAAATAGGCATGACCATATATACCAAAGGGATACAATCAAAAAAAGTGAACACATACAAAAAGGACAAATCAAACTTCAGAACAGAGAGGGGATGGGGGGGGAGGTAAATGTCTGTGAGCTAATGATATTAGAGGTGATAATTGGGGAAGACAGTATCAGACAGTATCACAAAGAAAAAACAGTTTCTTGCCATTTCAACCAGAAAGGGCATTGTCTCAACGACTTGATTACCTGCATCCTGCTTCAAAGGCATTTTAACTCCAGACTTGAAAGAGAAACCTCTGAACTGTCATTCATGCTTAAATTTGACACTTTACGCCGGGGTCTTAACAAATACGCTAATTATCTTACCCATTACAAAGATAGCGTCCCCAATTATCACCTCTAATATCATTAGCTCACAGACATTTACCTCCCCCCCCATCCCCTCTCTGTTCTGAAATTTGATTTGTCCTTTTTATATGTGTTCACTTTTTTTAGACTCATAGACTTTAAGGTCAGAAGGGGCAGGGTAACATCTGGTATTGTAACTGCATATATAGACTCATAGACTTTAAGGTCAGAAGGGACCATTATGATCATCTAGTCTGACCCCCTGCACAGTGCAGGCCACAAAATCTCACTCACCCCTCCTAGAATAATCCTCTCACCTATATCTCAGATATTGAAGCCTTCAAATACTTTGAAGACCCCAAGATGCAGAGAATCCTCTAGCTGTGATCTATTTCCCATAAATCCATGTTGACGCCCTTCATCAGGTCCTGATGAAATGCATCCCAGGATACTCAAGGAGCTGATAGAGGAGGTATCTGAGCCTTTAGCTATGATCTTTGAAAAATCATGGAAGACAGGGGAGATTCCCGAAGACTGGAAAAGGGCAAATATTGTGCCCATCTATAAAAAGGGGAAGCCATGAGGAATTCCTGGACAGTATTCCTGTGGAGTCCACGGAGGCCACTGTCCTAGGATGTGGGACTGTTGACCAGCCACTTATGGAGGAAGCGGTGGTGCAGGGTGAGCACTGGCAGGTGGGTTTTTCCCCCAGCAGGCAGTGTTCCACCCCTGCTCCTAATCCTCCCACTGTGTTGTTACATAACCGTTACACTTTACTTTCTGCAGGAGACAAGGAGTCACCCCCCACAGTGGAGGAGGCTGAGTTTGGAAGCAGAGAGAGCAGGGGACACTGCCCCCCTAGTCTTTTAAAAGAAGAATGAACAGTTCTTCCCTGTTCATGTTTTTGTTTCTTCAACAGGGAAGAGTGGGCAGGTCTAAGACAAACATGCTGAGCACATTCTGTCAGGAAGGACAGACAGGGAAAAAAGGGAGGAGGGGTTGCCTTGTATATTAAAAATGTACACACTTGGACTGAAGTGGAGATGAACGTAGGAGATAGCTGTGTAGAGAGTCTCTGGGTTAAGCTAAAAGGGGTAAAAAACGAGGGTGATATCATGCTAGGAGTCTACTACAGGCCACCTAGCCAGGTGGAAGAGGTGGATGAGGCCTTTTTTAAACAATTAACAAAACTATCCAAAGCCCAAGATTTGGTGGTGATGGGGGACTTCAACTATCCAGACATATGTTGGGAAACTAACACAGCGAGGCACAGGCTATCCAATAAGTTTCTGGACTGCATTGGAGACAACTTTCTGTTTCAGAAGGTTGAAAAAGCTACCAGAGGAGAAGCTGTTCTGGATTTGGTTTTAACAAATAGGGAGGAACTAGTTGAGAACTTGAAAGTGGAAGACAGTATAGGGGACAGTGATCATGAAATAATAGAGTTCATGATCTTAAGGAAAGGTAGAAGGGAGACCAGCACAATTGAGGTTATGGATTTCAGGAAGGCAGATTTTGATAAGCTCAGAGAACTTGTAGGTAAGGTCCCATGGGAAGCAAGACTGAAGGGAAAAACAACTGAGGAGAGTTGGAAGTATTTCAAAGGGACGTTGTTAAGGGCCCAAAAGCAAACAATTCCGCTGTGTAGGAAAGATAGAAAATATGGCAAAAGACCAGCTTGGCTTAACAAGGAGATCTTGCATGATCTCAAAATAAAAAAGGAGTCATATAAAAAATGGAAACTAGGACAACTAACAAAGGATGAATATAGGCAAGCAACACGGGAATGCAGGGGCAAGATTAGAAAGGCAAAGGCACAAAATGAGATCAAACTAGCTACAGGCATAAAGGGAAACAAGAAGACCTTTTATAAATACATTAAAAGCAAGAGGAAGACCAAGGACAGGGTAGGCCCACTGCTTAGTGAGGAGGGAGAAGCAGTAACAGGGAACTTGGAAATGGCGGAGATGCTCAATGACTTCTTTGTTTCGGTCTTCACCGAGAAGTCTGGAGGTGTGCCTAACGTAGTGAATACAAGCAGAGAGAGGGTAAGTTTAGAAGATAGGATACACAAAGAACAAGTTAAAAATCACTTAGGAAAGTTAGATGTCAGCAAGTCACCAGGTCCTGATGAAATGCATCCCAGGATACTCAAGGAGCTGATAGAGGAGGTATCTGAGCCTTTAGCTATGATCTTTGAAAAATCATGGCAGACAGGGGAGATTCCAGAAGACTGGAAAAGGGCAAATATTGTGCCCATCTATAAAAAGGGGAATAAGAACAACCCAGGAAATTATAGACCGGTCAGTTTAACGTCTGTCCCAGGGAAGATAATGGAGCAGGTAATTAAGGAAATCATATGCAAACACTTGGAAGGTAATAAAGTGATAGGGAATAGCCAGCATGGGTTTGTGAAGAACAAGTCATGCCAAACTAATCTGATAGCTTTCTTTGATAGGATAACGAGCCTTGTGGATAAGGGAGAAGCGGTGGATGTCATATACCTAGACTTTAGTAAGGCATTTGATACGGTCTCGCATGATATTCTTATTGATAAACTAGGCAAATATAACTTAGATAGGGCCACGATAAGGTGGGTGCATAATTGGCTGGATAACCGTAGTCAGAGAGTTGTTGTTAACGGTTCTAAATCCTGCTGGAAAGGGATAACAAGTGGAGTTCCTCAAGGGTCTGTTTTGGGACCCGTACTGTTCAATATCTTCATCAATGATGTAGATATTGGGATAGAGAGTACGCTTATTAAGTTTGCAGATGATACCAAACTGGGTGGGGTTGCAACTTCTTTGGAGGATAGGGACATAATTCAAAATGACCTTAGCAAGTTAGAGAAATGGTCAGAGGTAAACAGGATGAGGTTTAATAAGGAGAAATGCAGAGTGCTCCACTTAGGAAGGAACAATCAGTTCCATACATACAAGATGGGAAGCGACTGTCTAGGAAGGAGCATGGCGGAAAGGGATCTAGGGGTCATAGTGGACCACAAGTTGAATATGAGTCAACAGTGTGATGCTGTTGCAAAAAAAGCAAATATGATTCTAGGTTGTATCAACAGGTGTGTTGTAAGCAAAACTCGTGAAGTCATTCTGCCGCTCTACTCTGCACTAGTTAGGCCTCAGCTGGAGTACTGTGTCCAGTTCTGGGTGCCACATTTCAAGAAAGATGTGGAGAAATTGGAAAGGGTACAGAGAAGAGCGACAAGAATGATTAAAGGTCTAGAGAGCATGACCTATGAAGCCAGGCTTCATGAACTGGGCTTGTTTAGTTTGGAAAAACGAAGATTAAGGGGGGACATGATAGTGGTTTTCAAATATCTAAAAGGGTGTCACAAGGAGGAAGGCGAAAATTTGTTCCTCTTGGTTTCTGAGGACAGGACAAGGAGTAATGGGCTTAAAGTGCAGCAGGGGAGGTTTAGATTGGACATTAGGAAAACATTCCTAACTGTCAGGGTGGTCAAATATTGGAATAAATTGCCAAGGGAGGTGGTGGAATCTCCCTCTCTGGAGATATTTAAGAACAGGTTAGAAAGACATCTGTCAGGGATGGTGTAGACAGAGCTTGGTCCAGCCTTGAGGGTGGGGGGCTGGACTCGATGACCTCTCGAGGTCCCTTCCAGTCCAATGATTCTATGATTCATCGTATTACCCTCCTTTAATTCTGTATTAATACAATCCTGTATCGGCCATTGTCTATTTTGTTCAGAACTAATGTCAGGAGAATAAATCTTTAGTTACCTAGGTTATCCCATTTACGATATTTTAAATATTGGCACAATATTTGCTTTCTTCCAGTTCCCTGGAATTTCCTCAGTGATCCAAGACTTACTGAAAAATTAATACTTATGCTCCAGAGATCTTCTTAGCCAGCTCTTGTTAAAACTTGAAGATGTGAGTTGTCTGGGTGTAATTTTAAAGTGTCTAGTTATAGCAGCTGCAGGTTAGTATCCTCAGATGCTGTCAGAGTGAAATATATTATCATCTGATACATATACATCCTTTGGCTTACTACCAACTTTCTCCCATTGGTTTTATACATACATTTTTTTTATAGCTGTCTTAACTTGCCCTTTAAGCCAGGACTGGTAGTCCTTCCTTAATTGTGGATTTGTAGCCTTTGGAGCATCTAGTCAACTGTTCTTAAGCAATTCCCAATATCATTAACACTTTTCTGATTAAATTCTACCTTTCTGCTGATTTGGCTCATAATTGTTTTCAGCTTTGTGAATGATTCTCACTCCAAAAATGAGTACAAGCTTTGAAAATAAAATTATTACATAAAGCATTTATAGAACAAAGGTAGCAAATAGCAGTGCTCACATTTAAAAGTGTTACTAAGAGTAGTTATTAAACAAAAGCAATCATGATCTAGATAAGTCAGATAAAATGACCTGACATAATTAAAAGGAACAGCATTACATGCACGTAAAAATCATCTTTTCTATGGTTACATCAGTTAAGCCATAGTTTAATGAGATGTAAACAGCATTCCAAATAATGAAAGGGTGGTGGAAAGATGGCAGAACTGCTCTGAGGCAATATCAGATAAGGAATATTCCTAAAACAAGATTTTCAGATTGCGTCACCCTCATCTCAAGAGGTGGGATGGAAAACTTGGCTTACTAAGGATGTCTCTCTGTTAGTAAAAAAACCCAACAAATGGTCTGGTAGCACTTTATAGACTAACAAAACAGGTAGATGGTATCATGAGCTTTCATGGGTTGGTTTTTTTCCTATAACAGACTAACTCGGCTACCTCCTGAAGTCTCTGTTAGTAGCAGCTCTCTGTTTTATCATCAGTTTAGTGAAGCAGCTTTTGGGTGAGTACCTTGAGATTGGCCAAAACTGCTACAAATGTCTCTTCAAGAATTAAAGAACTGAGAAAGGACATTTTTTCCTCAGACAGAATCCAAAGATACTGAAGATTATGGACAAAACAAAGCTGTTCTAAAAGAATATCCATTGATGGATTGTGGCTTACTAAGGATCTAGAAACCTCTACAAAAATGTGTGGAGCAGAGTCAGAGAGGAAGACTGTTTTAGCATTTTTAATTACTTAAAACTGTTTCCCATTGTATAAGGGACAACAGGCTGCAGACATCCTATTCTAGATACTTTGAAATTTCAAAAACCCTTTGAAGCATTATTATTGTGTCAGTTCTCCTTAATTAGGGTGGAGTTATTTTCCTCTGGTGGAAGTAAAAAGACTGATGTTGATCCCTCTGGAGACATATCAGTTCTTGGATGTGTAATGTAACTCATCACAACACCAAAATGCTTCATAGAAAAGCCAGTAATAATACATTAGACAATCACTGTTTGTAACTGGCTAATGCTAAGTGCATTAGTGATATTTTAAAATTTTACAGAAATGACTAAAATGAACATTCAGGGCCTAATGAATGAATGAATGAATGAATGAATGAAAAATTGCTCTTACCTTCCAGAGGTCAGGTGATCCCTCTATAAGTTTGGCATTTGTTTTACAGTATTTTAGAGCCAAATGCAAACATTCCGTCCCATAATCCAAGTCATAATCACTACACTGTATCAATTAAAACAAAAACAAATTTGTGTTATTACAGTTAAGAGTATAATCATCACATTAATGGTCAAAGTGACAAAATATTTTTCTAGTTTAACCACATTTGGTGTCCTTACAATTCCATCCGCAGCACTGGCACCTTAACTTGTGTAGGTTAGGAGACAGGTGGCTTGGCAAAGCCACGCTAGGAAACCTACCTTGTTCACACTATGCCAGACTTTAGTAATTTACATACTTTCACGACTCGAGATAGCCTTTGTGCACCATTAGGTGCTAAACTTTGATGATCAGAAGTTCAAGTTATGAAAAGTTGCTGTTGAGGCCTTGATTTTTAAAGGGAATTATTGAAATATCAAGATAACAGTTAACTTCACAAACACTGGGGTACTCTGTAGCTGGCAGTGGAAGAATGGGCATTTTCATTCAAAAGACAAAATGGGCAATGTATTTAAAGTATGGGAAAATGAGGGAGTTAAATGAGATTTTATATATCCCTTACATATCTGTGCATCCATGGTCAAACACATACAGAACCCTACAGTAATACGGCTCCATGTTATAACCACAAGTTTTCAGATGAAGTTGTTATGCTTAAAAGAAGCACACAGGATCTTTTTCAGGGGGATAAGGCAACATGCCGCATTTATTGATAATATAACAAAGTAGCATATACCTTCACACACACAGACACACTCGCACGTACACACCCTGCTGATGGAATAGTTACCAGTCTATTGCTTGGCCCAACATATTGGCCAGATAGGTCAGGTGCGAGGAAGGAGCCGGGTTCTTGTCAGTATGGACTGACACTCCATAGTCTTAGCAGGACGGAAACCCGAAGAACCATACAAGTAGCCCCATCCTTTATGGGATTTTCCTTCCATGCAAGTCTATGCCTTTTGCCTTGTCAGGCCTTAATCAGTCACTCAGCGTCACAATCAATCTTCCTACGACATATGCTTATGAGGAAGAAGTTGTTCTCACAGGCATTTGATATCTATACTCTGACAACCCCTCGGAGGTGTTGTCTTCAAGCTAAAGTTGTTACTGGTTCCCTATCAAGGGGTGCTTGCCACTAACTTCAGGGTTCGTCAATCTGACTTGGTCCAGTTGCGTCTTCAGTGTGCTTTCGCTTAGTTGATAATTATTTGGTGCTTCTGAGTCTCCATCCCCTCCTATAAAGATCTGGGCATGCAGAGGCCTTCACACTAATCTCTCCTAAAACATTCTCTCTCTCATTCACACAAACAATACATTTACACAATTGAAGCGTGGGACAAAAGGGTACTTCTAGTCACTTTAACAAAGTTACAAAGTCTTTCAACATTAAACTTCTTTCTACCTATTAGAAGGCCTTTCCTAATATTAACATCACTATATATTACAATATGCCATCCCTTCACTTTAACATCAGAACATGCTAACATCAAACAGAGCTGGTGCTAAGTTAACAAAGCTGCCTGGCCTGTCTGAGGCCTACAACTTGTGTTTAAGTTTAATCCAAACCTTTTGCTATAACATAAGTAAGTTAGTTATAATGAATGTATTACTTACACAATTGCAAGGCTACAAAGTGGATGGAATTCCATTCACTTTCCTATCAACTTGAAAGGGCATGCTCCTAACAACACCCTTCTCCTCTCGTCCCTGCCAAGCATCTGAGCATATCTAATTACTGAGGATTTCAAAGGAAAGAATAGTAGGAGTGGAAAGAGCACAGCTACACTCATCACAAAACATAGACTGAGGTTTATAACACCCTGATTCTCATACTGTCCTGACCCTGATGTAAGTTAAGCAGCCCATAGGCTACTCTACACTCCCTAAGGGTATGTCTACACAGCAAAGTTACCTTGAAATAACAGCCCTTATAACAGCGGAGCGCTTATTTCGAATTTGATAATCCTCATCCTACGAGGAATAATGCCAAATTTGAAATAGCTATTTCTAAATAAGTGCTGTACAAACACTTATTTTGAAATAGGGGGCCTCCAGCCTTCCTAGGCTGCCCTGGTGGCCTCAACCAAGAACATTTCTCTCCCTCCCCCCACTCCCAGAGCCCTTAAAGGAGTAGACTCTGGTCACAGTGTCAAGCCTGCCAGCCCAGATCCAGTAGTCACTGCCCCTGACCCAGTAGCCCCAAAACAGAAGCCAGCAAGCACAGGCAGCCAGCCTTCTACTGCTTCCCAGGAGCAGTCTGCCAGCTCCCAAGAGCCTGCCAGGGCCCGGAGAAGATCCAGGGTGGAGATCATGGACCTTATTCAGGTTTGGAGGGGATGCTCCCAATATCCATGATCTCTGCACTAGACAGATGAACACGGCCATCTATGGCAGGGTAACTGCCAGCCTGACCACCAAAGGCCACATGTGAACCCAGGAGCAGGTCTGCATGAAAATCATGTTGGTCCAGCGAGATCCCCAACACTGAGCTTCCCCTCCCCATTTTTCCCCTTGCTTCCCCCTTCCAGATCCCTCCTCCCAGGTTTCCCTCTCTTCTCCCCTGTCCTGCCTCCTTTCTCCAGTCTCACCAGAGTTTCATTCCCCCCCCTCCCCAGTTTTATTAAATAAAGAGAGTTTGCATTCATGAAAATGTGTATTTTATTTTACATCAGGAAGGGGGGCTAGGAAGGGGTAATTGAAAGGACATGAGGGAGGAATGAGGCACAAGCCCCCAATGGCGCAGACCAGGGAGGCTCTTAGTTCTCCTCAGGGTGGAAGCTCTCCCGCAGAGCCTCCTGGATACTGACAGCCCCCCAACAGACCTCCCAGATGGCAGCCTGCAGAAAGTGCAGCCAGGCTCGCAGCAACGCGTCCAAGAGAAGCACTGGAGTGCCCAGGAGCGGCTCTGGCTCCATGTTGCCGAGTGCTGTGGTGTCCCAAGTGAGGGCAACCAGAGCACGCAGACACAAAATGCTTTGCTGTCCCTCATCAAAGTAAACAAGCAAGCAGGGAAACCTGAGAACTGGCTGTCGGGGGGAGGGGGAGGGAGAGGGGTGTCCCTTTCAGCACAGACCTCAGAAAGCCTCAGGCAGCAGCCCCAAGTAGTTAAGTCCTGACCTGGAGCCCTGCTAGAACTGCCAGCCTTAAATGACACTCAGTGTGGACGTGCTATTTTATAGCAAAATGCTATTTCGAAATGCATTTTGTGTGTAGACGCGTTATTTCAAAATAAGATAAGAATGGCATAGGAGACAACACTGCAGGAGAAATTCCCCACGTGGCTAGATTATGTTCTAAGTGTCTAGACCAGGGCCAAGAATCTAGCAGATATCCTATATACAAGTTTCACTATGAAATTAGTTTTCTTTAGATTTGGCGGGGATTGCAGAAGTGCCACGCTCAGTTTAGAGAAGTTATTTGTCATGTTCAGTTTTAAAAATACAGAGTTAAGGTAAATGGTTTTAAATTCTGACTTCATACATCGCTCAGTTATAGCTGCAAATGCTCCAAAATAACTGAAAATATTATCCAAAATAAAAAAAGTTCACATTAGAGCCCATCGAAAAATATATAGAAAACGTTTTCCTTTTCCAATCTCTGAGTAATTAAAATATGGCATGATTACACAATTAATTGTGGCGTACAGCAATTTAGAAGCAGAAAACCAAAGCAGAACATTTTAACAATACAGCCACTCCCCAAGTTACGAACAAGTTAGGGACCAACACCTGGTCCATAACTCGAAGTGTTCGTAACTTGGATTCCATAGAGTTACATGGCAACCACGCTGTTCGTAAGCTCAGATTGCCGTTCATAACTCGGATCTGCATTTACGACCACTTTGATCGTAAGTGCGGATAGTCGTAAGTGGAGGTGGTCATAACTCAGGGAGCAGCTGTACTGTAAGCAGAGAAGAATGAAGCCAAATTATTTATACTCATTTACTTATTTACACCTCAGTATTAGCATATAAGTACCATAATCAGGGAGTATGAAATGAGAATTTTATAGGGCGACAGAAAAAGTAATCTGATACATTTATTTTTTATTCCCTTTTCCCCTTTCTTTTCTTATTCAGTTTAGGGAAGGAAAAAAACCAATAATGCCTAACACGGCAGTTGTGAATGTCTTTAAAGTCTGTTAGATTGATTTCAGAAGAAAGGAGCGACAATTCTATAATGTGACTCACAGTAGTCTTATATTTCCTTAATCAATTTAATTATATAGGGTACAGCTACATTTAAAATGCTAGAGAGGCACAGCTGCAGCAGCTACATTGTAGGCAATCACTATAGCAACAGGAGTACTCTCCTGTTGCTGTAGTTAATTCACCTCTCCAAGAGGGGTGTCCAGGGACCAGCCCCTTTGACGGTCCAAAAGTGCCCAAAGTCAGGGTCCATATTCGCTTTCCACCAGGCAAACAGGACCCTGCAGGCTCAGTCCCAGAGTACGATTCCCTCTATTAAGGTGAATACGGCCCTGTAGGCCTAATTCTCAAAGTATAGCCCCCATTATTAGGGTGAATACAGCCCTGCTGGCCTCGTCCCAAAGTACAGCCCCTTCTAACAGGGTAAATATGGCCTTGCAGGCCTAGTCAGATACTCACTCACTCCCCTCTCTCCAGGTCACAATGGCCTAGCGGTCCAGTCCAAAGTAAGCTTCCCCAAATGCTAGGGAGCTGGATTGTTCTGGGACAGAGAGGTAGGGGGACCCAGGCCCTCCCACTCCACCGGGTCCCAGCCCAGGGCCCTATTGGCAGTGGCAAATTCCGCTACCAGCTCGGCGGGGATGCGGGGCGGAACATGCCAAGCTCCCAGAGGACAATCCTCTGCCCTGGGCTACTTCCTACTGTCCCTGTGCATTGTTCAGCTCTAGGGGTCTAGCTTGGCAGGTCGGACCGTAGTACACATCCTTCCTGGCCGGGGCTGTCGCTGAGGCTGCGACTGTGGCTGCCTGGTGGGGGCTGTCGCTGCTGCTGCTGTGGCTGCTCTGGAGCTTGGACCGGAGCTCCTTCCCCTCTGGTGGTCAGCCCCAACTGAATGGCTCCCTGGCTTTTATAC